GTCGTTGGCAGCCGACATTTACCTATCACACTGCTATTCATGACCAAAGTTTTGACTGCACCTCTAAATTAATTTCAAATTTTTTTGAGGTCAAATTTGCATTAACTTGTAAATATACACAGTTAGAATTTCTGATGTCCGCTGTTTGATAAGCGGATTCGCTGATTTTGCACGTTTAGCCAGAAATAAATGAGAGTTGGTGCATTGCTCCGTTGTTCTCCTCTGAATTTAATGATGATTTACTTCAAGCTCGAATGGCAACAAAACGTAGAAAAGTTGATGCTAAGTGCAAAGGGTTCAATGGCGCTGAAAATATTCAAACGGAATTTTTTGAGATGCAATGAGGAAATAAATCTATATTCTATTCGAGAGATGTATCACTGCTTGATTTTTAATAGAAAACTATCATCCGTTCAGTTTCAACTTTCTAAAAATATCTGCGGCCCGCCAATGACTCGCAACCCTTAATTTTGGCCCGCGGGCGACAAAAGGTTGCCGACCCCTGCCGTAGATGTTGCAAATATTCTGTCAGAGGTGAAGCTAAATTTGCAGGGAAAAAATTTGTATTTAAAAAGAATGTTTGCGATTTTTACGAGAAATGTCTATCGTATATAGAGCTGCACGATGAAGCCTACAATGCTGCCAGGCCACACATATGGACAAATTTGAAGAGTGAAATAAACTGGACTGAAGTGTTTGGTCTGCAAAATTGATAAATGATATATTTGGTTAGCTGATCAGATTTTGAATAGCGATGCACTTTTACGAATACTGATAAAGAGATATTTAACTGAGCATGGTTCAAATGCAATTTGACTTACTTTGCCGGTTGAAATTAAGTGGACAAAGATGTTTCACGTTTTTTCTAACAGAAATATTAGCATTTCGAATTTGCAGCAAATTGGTTGATTTTGTTTTTCGGAACATCGGCATCTGTTAAAATTAAACTAATTTTTTGTGTTTTTTCTAATTCAATGATCAGTAGAGATTTAAAGCCGTATATACCCGCAATGGCATGGTAGACGTTCCAATATTATCAAGACTGGCAATCGACCAAATGTTTGTCAAATCGCACCGTCCCGGTTTTTTGTTTCAGATTTATGGTAAGCCTACGAGTTATTATTTAATTAGTGATGAGACACAAGATGTCACTATGGAGTAAGAGCGCTGTTTTGGGGTATCCCCTAACTTTCGATCGATAAGTCTTCGGTCTCTGACCGATATTCTCGTTTTCTTCTTGAGAGAATACAACGATGGCGGCGCGACTTACGGCCCAAGAATCGTGAGAATGTTTTTATATGTGACATATGATCACATTCACAGGTCCTCTGCATTTTGTTTGTCCGTTTTTTTTTTTTTTTCAGAGTGACCAAAATAATATTGATTGATGTGTTTGACAGAGGCTCGGCGTTGTGGCGCATCCTGCTTAGCGTTAAGAATGGACCTTTCCCCGACCTTTGACCCCCGAATAATTCTACCTGGGATGCGAAAAGGGAGCATTGTCACGTCACTTTTTGCATCTTGCTGATTGGCCAATGTCACGAAGTAAACAAGAAATTCGATGTCGGGGAAAGGTTGATAGGCTCGCCACCGCACCTCTGAGTACCCTGCGTGGGTTCGAATCCAATGCTGGGATAAATACGTGCAAGAAGATTGCTGGACTCCTCGTCGCCGCAGGGTGATTTACGTTACCGCTGATCTGTTACCGGTACGACTTCCTCCACCACAGACGAGATATTTACGCATATCCCAGCCCAGACCCCTCCAACATGGCATTGGTGTCCATGAATGAACGAACCTCAATTCTAGCAGTTGACGAGGGAATGTGTAGCTTATAACAGTTGTACAGAATACAGTTAGTTGAAGCGCGAGTCATTTTGTTTGTGCTGATATTGGCGTACTTAACAGACAAGACATGTAAATACAGCTGGGACATCTAAACTAAATCACTCTTGACGATCCGTATCGAATCAGCTTCACCACCTCTACCCTGATTAGGTTTCTAACCTCCCCAGGGACCCAAGAAAAGTCAAGGTCAAAATCCCAAGTCAAGTAGGGTAGGTTACGGCTTTCTCTACAATCAAATTCATGGATCTGGAATAAGTATTACCAATACCTAACAGTCTCGCTATATCAGGGATTCTCAAACTTTTGGTCTTGCGGAGCCCGTGAAAAGGTTGACTAATATGAGCCCCAAAATAAATTTAAAATTGTTACTTTCCGATTAATATTCCTGAGTAAGTTAAAGGTACTTTACGAATTTAAAAGCTAAACCTTTTTAAATGGGGTTAATACAAGCCATAAATAAATCTAAATTTCACAGATAAATTATATATATAAAGGCTGTGAATTTGACACTCGACAAACGTATTAATAAAGTAGGGGTCGAATCTTGTCCCTTTTGATATTTTTAAAAGACTAGAAAGATCGCTGCGCGATTGCATTTTGATACAATCGTCTATTGTTTTTGTCAGTGTGGCGTGTTTTTTTAAAACCCTAACATCTTTACGTCGGTGTTTATTCTTCCTAAATCAAAAACTTCCTACCGTATATACATGTATTGTTCCACAATGACGACGATAATTGCTCTTTTGTTCTGGTGGGGAATTATGAGTTCAACGTGAAAGCATCGTTACCATATTGATTGATCGGCGACGAGAGGCTAAAATATTTAATAAAGAGGTAAATCCACAACTCAAATTCTTTGATTGAAAAGCGGCATTATGAATGATTAAAACTAAAACTTAAAACGGAGGATAACACTAAGTTTTGTTTCAACAGACTCACGACAGATTAAAGCTTTTTTAGACATTGTAAATCCCAAAATTTGGTGTCATGTTAGATTTTCTTTGGTTATTCATCGTAGTAACTGAAATCGAAACACAGTCAATTATGCGCGCGATGATCTTTTATCCATTCTGAGACTACCGACGGAGCCGCATGCAATAACATAAATTTCTATCGTTCGTATTTTGCCCAGACCTTGTGATTTTTTAAACGGCGATATCTTGCAAAGAATCTGAGTTGCAGACCTGCGCGGTAGGAGTTAGTGTTGCAAGAACGGCTCAAATTTGTCGAATTCGCTAAATCTACCACACTGCCACGCAATCAGCCATGATTACGATTATGAATTGGGAAGGGCACAAATATCTTATCAAACTACTGGCACCGGTAGTAGGTATGTTCTTTTGTGGGCAACATGACTTTGTTTCTAATATCTTATGATAACAGCGTTGTTCAGGATATATATACAGTAGTCCACAAGAACTTCGTTCACTTAACTTTGTTTCTCATTTCATGTCCGCGTATTGCCGTGGTAATTTGAGAAGTAAGGATTTATTACATTGAACACAATTAACCCAATGAACAAGTCATTTTAAATATGCCCGCATCTGTCATAGATTGTAAATTGTACTTTTTGAGTTTTAACGTCAACCTAAGGCTTTTTGTAACGCCGATATCTTGCTTAAAAATAATCTTGAGTGCGAAAGTACAAATCAAGTTTGACAAATCCCAAGATCGCAAAAATACGATTTCAATTTATTTATTGTTGGCAGTTTATCACGTATTTTATATTATTTTAGAATAGTAATCTTTTATTTTAGTAATCCTAATAGTAATCTCGAATCAAACGTGAGTAACGGTAAGCACAATCGAATTATTATGACAAGACCTTTTAAATGCTGCTCGCAATAGTCATGGATTGAATATTTTACGCAACAGAAATCTCGTTATCCACTGCAATTTGTTTTTTCAACCGCGAAGAATGTTGCGCGAAAATTTCCGATTCCAATTTTGAACCCCTCTCCCTCTTAAGAATCCTGGCTGCGCTCCTTATAAATAATGTCATTTCTGAATTCCGCCTCTATGTCATATTTCGAGGCTATACTGTTGTCAAATTTCATTAAACCTGTTATTGCTTCTTTGAACAATTACAAAATTAGCAAAGTCAGTATTTTGAAAAGTAATAGAATATCACGCGGAACCCCTAGGTTTCTCCCGCGGAGCGCTGGGGCTCCGTACGGAGCACTTTGAGAACCTATGCGCTATATGATTCGAGCTGCCTGATCTCCTTCCTTCTCCCCAGGAATAAATATGAAAATCCTATCCTAACTTTGAATTGTGATCTTCAAGTTGATGAATAATTGGTACAAATACAAGTTTATGAAGAAGATAGATATATTTACAAAGTAATGTAAAAGGATAGATCATAGGAGAGATAAGATTGCGGAAAATTAATTATACAATGAACATAATACCATTTTCAATGAATAAAACACTACTCCAAGATCGCGAAAATTCTCGAATCTAATATAAAAATTCACTCATATGACACTCTACTTCCAAAAGGTTTCAAACTGTGAACCAAGGGTGTCAAATGTGTAATCATCTATAGTAAACAGCAGTACATGAATATACCACAAAAATTCAGGATCTCCACTTTTAAGGAAAAAGGCTATCAGTATACAATTTTACACACCTGTCAAAATTTTCAACTTGATTTCATTCCTCATAATTTCCATGATACAGATATAAAATCAACAAGAAAATCGGTATTCTGTTAAAAAGGTTGTATATATATAATAAAATATGCTGGATAAAAAAAACAAAAAAATAGTGAAATCCATATTTTTTGAATTTCTGAGAGATATTTCCTCAAATTGAATTTGAAACATCGTCTGCTTGAACACAAGAGCGAATTAATGGAGGACAGAGATACAGTACAGGGTATTTATGAAGTCCTGTTATAATTCTAATTTTATTATGAAGTTAGTTCTCAATATATCTTAACCAGGTTTGTTTTATTTCGATCAGTTTTATACACTTTTATATGCCTACCATTTTTATACAGGAATTTATGAACACCCTGTAAATCTCTCATGCACATTCACGAAAAGACAACAGGGTAATCAGGAACAGATACACATTTAGAGAGGATTTTATCCTAAAAGAAGTATTCACCCCTAAGAAGTCATCTAAAAATGATAAGCTGATATTATATTTACACAAATAAATGCAGATTTATTTAGGCTCAGACACTATAATGTATTAATTAAAAAAAATCACATGAAATTAGATTTAAGAATTCTACTATTCTTGTTAGAAGCTTTGAGGGCGGTGGTCTGCAAATTTTACGAACCATTGTGCCAAATCTGCTCACGGTAGCGTGCGGGCAACATTAAACTTCAAATTATAATGCACTTGAACTCCTATTTCGGTGTTGAAAAAAATTATTGGTAGTAAATGACATACTGTGCACAATAAAATGCCCTTACGCTATTAATTACAACAAAACAAACGCTGTACAACAGCCATTGCGAATTGCGATGATATACATATGTGTGCAAAGTTATGAGCAATTTTTGTTTGTATGTATTAAAAGTGAAGTTGTTCAGGGGTAACAAAGAAATTGTTCCCGGGCCACAGTTTGCCAACCACTGTCTGAGTGTCTGTAGGATGGCATACCTTAAGCTTAAACAAAATTAAGACAATTTTTTTTCGAGAATCCAGATAATTCAGGTTACTGAATTTAACATACAGTTTCCAATTTTGCAGTGAAGTTATGATTTGGGTCGAATACTACTGATTAATATTTTGCCAAATTCTTATAATAATAATTCCAAAACACAAGATCAAATATAAAAACCATAACAGAGACGCTATGTCAATGTGGAACTATTAGAATTCATTTGAAGACTTTATAAATCGAAACATTCAGTTCAAATAAATCCCCAATATTAACATTACCATCCAGGCAGGACTATAATGATAAAAATTTATGAGAATTTTTAAAGCCACTAAACCCTATGTTTCTAAAACAAGGCAACGTAAAAAGTAAAATATTTTAAATGTATTTCTTCACCCAGAAATGAAAAAAAATCATAAAATTTATCAATCATAAGAATCAAATATTAAGGATGAAGACTATGGTTGTACCAATATTCGATAACCATACGCGTTGGTGGGGTAAAATTCGAAAACAAAAATAAGTTGGCAGATGACGGTACTTGAAATAAAATCACAACAATAAGTCCTTTTTCTACATATTTGCCTTATTTAAATGTTTTAGGATTTAGGGGCACATTGAAAATATGAATTGAATTTTGATAGTACAAAAAACAGTCTAAAAAATGAACTAGATGGTGAAAATGTGACAAATTTTTATCAGCAGGTAATATGTTTTTATATAGTACTGTAATTAAGCTGTACAAAGCCAAGTAAACCGCAGCAAATATGGCAAATTTAGTAATGGATGGGCAGGCAGAATAGTATGTAACATGGATGTCTGACGACTGGTCAACTAAAGAGCGCAAATTGTTCCATGGTATTCTCTAAACAATCTAGTGGGAGACATTCAGAATGCCAGGATTATATTGATTATAGGCTTGCGTTTTGTTTTTTCTTTAATTTCAAAAATGTTATGCTACAAAATGCAAAAACTAAAGTAAAATGACTAATTTTAATTAAAATTCATCCAGAATCACATGTTACGTACAGCCAGAGTCAGGCTTCCAACCTGTTAATGATTACCAGGTTGAGAATATTTAGCATAATGGTCATATGCCACCATAGACAATAGTAATCATTAGCACCCTTTCCAGAAAATCCTGCATTCATTGAGAATAAATTTAATGGGTTACTGTGATAATTCATGTGTTAGAATAGACATTGAAGTTTCAGCAAATGGTTGTATCAGCATATGAAGTGGGATTTTCAATAAAGCTGATAGGTCTCTTACATCTTCGAATTCCACCCATATATTTTTACATTGACCAAGTCAAAACTTACGAATTGCTCAAACAATTCCTCAAGTTGGCAAGACAATTAGATGAATTTGAATTTATCATAAATTCAAGCCTGTCATGGCTGAAAACAATATTGTCAGTTAGCCTTTATGGCAATATACATGTTATAAAACAAGTGTTTATTGCGATCCTGCTCATCAAACGATTTTTATTCCTTCTTCGTCCTGAAGTTTTTTCAGAGCTTTTTTCACTCTCAATGCTGTGAGTCGAGCAGAGCAATTTTCATACCAGCACTCGCACATGATCTTATAAACTCCTCTAAGGCACTGAAATAAGAAAACAGAAATTAAGTAGAGTGTTATGTTATCAGTAGCTGCATAACCTTAAGAAGCAGAGTCCAACACTATTTACACAGACTATTACAATTCAGTCCTTTTACTGGGTGATGCAGAAAAAACTTATAAATGGAACTTATAAATTTGATTACTTCTAAGAAGATAAAGGAATTTTCGTTACACTTGAAGTTCTGTTTGTGTACGACTACACTCAAAAAGTTTCAAACATCTATAACGCTTTTCACAAAAGTTATGTTCCAAAATGACCAAGGTTCTGTTCTTGGGGTAGTAACCCTGTATTATGATGGACACAAATATTCATTCCCCTTGACATGATTTTCCAGTAATAATTAAGATTGGTCCAAAACCTACCAGTTCTCGGCTTACATATATTTCCAATAGCTCAATTTTTATCTTTTTCCATGGTATTATAACACACCTTGCTTTTATTCACTGTGAACACGGCCATATTTAAGCATCACTTCTATTTAAGGTATTAAAACTTTCTATAGGACCGAAATACTTCCAATCAGGCATCGCCATCCCAAATCATTACATCCTGGGTGATATGGCAGGCACAAGATTCAAACCTGAGATTTTCAACTTACTCTGCCAAAGTAGTCAAGTTCAGCATTTCAACCATTAGGCCGTCGACGGCCCACACTATTTGTCCCAGTTTCTGTTTTGTGGAAAATCTCATTTCCTGGCCTTATTAACTTGAATTGTTTTGAAGTCACCCATAACAACTAGTATTTAATTACATCTTTCTAATATATAGCTAATCACTCTTTCCATTTTTGTTGGGGGATTGGGACATTGCTAAAGTGAACTTGCACTCAAAATGAAAAAAAAAAAGAAACAGAAAATAGAAATCTTACATCGTTTTGTTCCCAGAGTGGATATGCAGTAGGACGTTGTTTCTTTCCGCATACAACTGCACGCATATCTTCAACAGATGGATCGTTAGGAACAGCATCAAAGTATGGAAGCTCGTACTCCAGCGCTTGTCCTAAAAATGATTAGCCAAATGATGAACAATTGCTAATTTAATAAAAGAGATGAAAGATTTGCAGTCTGTAATACTAAGAAAATTAGCTGGGCTGTGGAATCAGAGAAAATTCCAATTGCCTGCAAATCCGGTTGGCTCAGACCTCCAGTTGCAAAAACTCGTCTCAAACTACGAACTGTAAGAAATCCAATTTGGGAAGTTTTGACTAATTTTATCACCACTGAAAATGTGCAATATCGACTTTGTGATTTCTGGGAGAAGAAAAAAAAGACTCTGGTTCAGTCTCCAGTGAAAACATGTCAAACTCCGACTCTATAGCCATGGACGGCTTGGACGCATCAAGGTATTGTAATAAAAAAACACACCTCCAACATCTGCACGTCGAGCAATTTCCCAGAAAACCAGACCAAGAGAATAAATATCAGCTCTCTTGAATGAATCGAAATGTCTCATGTTTAGTGTTTCGTCTAATACTTCAGGTGCCATGTATCTAAATAATATACAAAGATATAAATTACACAAATGAGGTCATCTATCCAAACTACCACAGAATCATGCCCTGCCAAATCTAGAACAACATTAGAAATATTCTAAACGAAGCATTTTTGTACTAGTCTAGCATGACTGTGTGGGGCAACAAATGGTGAAAAGCTATTAACTATAACTGTTCCCATACCTGGCATGCACTGGTAATCGAACAAGAGGCCTTGATACACAATATAATTAAGCCGACTTAATATAGGCTTTCCTATCCCCGTGATAAAAATGACAACTTATCCTTATTGTAAGAAAAAAACAAGGCAATCAATAGATTTTGTTGATCAAAATTTATGTGAGCTTTTTTTAATAAATTGTGAATAACGGTTTTTCAATTTTGATAGAAAAGAAAATGTAACTTCAATTATCACCATTAGAGGTCTGGAATTATAACTCCGAGGAATTGAATATTTCATTTCCAACACCTTACTTAGGGGAGTTTTAAAATATAATTCAAAATATGACAAACCCTAACTGCCTTGTTTTGATATTAAAATTGGTAATCATTGTTAATTTAGAAAAACTCAAATTCTAAAAAATAGGAACATTTGAATAAAATTTTGATGAATCAAAAAAAATTTTATGTCCAATTTTCACCTTATAGTCCCAACTTTGTTATTCAGCGGAATATCAATGGTGTCAGTCTGTGAGTCATGTCGTACTGCGAGTCCAAGATCAGCAATTGCACATTCACCGTTCTTCTTCACCAAAATATTTTTCGATTTCAAATCACGATGAGCAATCGGAGGTTTTGCTATAAAAAGAATAAAAAATTTAAATTGACAAATTACCCCTTTAAATGTGGTAAATAGATTTAAATATTTAGAATTTTCAAATACAAAATGAAATGAATGAAAATATAAATGCATTCCTGTCAAAATATTTCAAAAAATGTCGGTTACGGTATGTTGGCTTTAATAGTGGATATCATTCATGAAATGATCCCATATTTATCTGTCTCAAAATTTGAATATCTTGAGTCTTTTCAGGAAATTTCCTTGAGAAAAAGTAATATTGTGTACTGTATTTAAATAAGGACCATAAGGCACACTTTAAATACTGTTTTTTCTCAAAATTCGATTGTGCGTCTGAAAAGCTTAATGTATGAATAAGGTAGTGCTTTATTTCCTACACTAAAATCAGTAGTAGTACCGGTGGCGCCTTATTTTAGAATAAACCTGAGCAATTTATTAACGTGGTCAGTAAAATAAGGTAATTCAAATTTTGTTCAATGAACAATACTTCCATGCATATGTTTGTATCTAGTTCAAAAAAGAAGGCTGTATATCGCTTTGAATAGATTAAACCTGAGGCAGATAAAGTAGGCATGAATCTATTAGATTTGTATTACACACATATGTGAATACAACTTCAGATCATTCTCATGGAACATCAGTCATTAGTAACTTCAAGACATGAAATTAGGATATTCAAAAGATTATTGTATAGACATGTTCACTCCTTGTTCCGATAACAATACCATATTCAAAACAGAATCATGTCATGGCAGCATGTCCAACAAACGATTCAGACATATTTTGCATAAATTCGTGACACAGAATCATTTTAAAATAACGTAGATTAATCAATTGATTACGTGTTGTCTAACTAATAGCCTATTGAAATCAAGCCACATCAAGCCTAAAAAATGTATGTATGAATATGCAGTTGACATCATTCACATAGATAATGTAAGGCTGAATAAAAAAATATTAACAATTAAGTAAAGGTACTCAAACGCTTTGAAAGAGTTCAGTATAATAATTGGAAATTATTTGGTAAAATCAAACCACCTGAAGCAGCTTGACATAAACTCAAAACAAATCTGAACATTAACATGTATAGCCTATCTGAATGAGCTTCCTAAAATTACATAATTCAATATATGGTTTCCAAAATTTGCTATTTGGCTTGATATGCTCCGTATAATCAATCAAAGTAATGTGCCCTATTTGAACCATAGTAATTGATTAGGTCTGATGTCTATTAAATAGCATTTAATAAGAAGAAAAGCATATTAGTCTAGGGCGAACTTGCTTGTCTCAATGATCCAGTTCAAACCCCAAAAATTAGCCGACACAACTTCCGTTTGGAAACGAGTTTGTGCCAAAATCAAACGATTCGGGTGGAAATTTTATTTCAATATTGAAAAATTTGATGACATTTTCACTGTTCACCAGAATTACGAAAGCATGGTATATATCTTATTAAAACATATCATACTGAATCCATTCCATGATTTATTTTTGACTAACGCAACTACATCGATTACATACTAAGCCCAGAAAATGAATGATTTAGGAATACTTTTCCAAATTAAAATAAAATATAACAATATCCAATAGAAAGAACAATAACAACAATATGACAGTTTATTTACATGATATCAAATTATTACCAGTCCCAACTTAGCGTCAGGTATAGACTGTTGATTGATAGGATTTATGGTCCTAAATGATTCATGTATCAGGTTATATATTAAACTGATAAAAATGAGAGAAGTTTCGAGATAGCTCATGTGTGAGTCATTGCTGATGGAATGATACATCAACATATTGTACAATACTGAAGAGAAGGGGTCTACAATATTGTACAAACTAAATTCTTTATATTTATGTATGTCAGAAACACAACACAAAACTTATGTCATGAGAACAAAGATCCTATCAATCCTTTTTTGATAAGACAAGAAAAGCTATCAGACCCCAAAATTTTGTTAAATACAGGTGATGTTAAGATATATTGAAGGCATCTCCGCATAATTGGTCTGTCTATGAAATACCAATAATACAACAAGATAACTAGGCTAATTGATGAATTAGCTCAAGCTATGGTATCGCAAACAGTCCTATTCCAATGTCAGCACTACTTAGACTTGTGATTGTAGATGAAACATTATATCTTATTATAGGTGCTCAAATGTAGAAACTCACAGATCATGCTTTCATAACGCAAGCCACATTGTTTTCAGTATTATAATAAAATTGTAAAAAAGAAACCATGAAAACACATCAACTTGACATCACATGCAGCTTGCAGGTATCTATATAAATATTTTACACTTGCCCAATTTAAACAAATAACAGTGTTCATATATAGTCTCAATTAAATTATGGTAGGTGAAAGAAACTTTGATGTGCTTTGGTGCAACTAATGGTGGGCAAATAAACTAGTATAATAAAATAGAAAAATTAGTGAGCACTGATTAAAATAAAACAACCTGGTTAACATATATATGAGACCTGACTTCATAACGATACTTTGATTGCAACAGGACTTTATGAACACCCTTATTATTGGAACCAATTTAGTGCTTAAATTGTGAAGCAATGTTTTAAATGAGATTGCGAAGAAACAACCTAATTCATAAGTTTCAAATAAATCCCTAAAAAATTACTGGGGTCACAGTGTTCACTATTAGCGCACTTTTTTGCGAGGAGTGCGAAACATTTTCGCAACTTTTTTAGGGGCTGCGAAATAGCACTTTTTTTGATTTTGCAGGTCAAAAATTCAAAGTTGACAAATATTTTTCATGCGAGTATGAAGTTGACAAAATAAGTTGCGTACTAGTAGATTTATAACCCAATTTGCATTCCATAACGATATTTGCTGGGATTCTAACCAATGTGGTGCATACATTGGAGATAAGCTTTTGCATTAACGCAGAATTCTCGTTTATAATATGATTATTTACAAGCACACCGATTCTCCCTTGATTCCCCTTCTCTCGCGAAAAACGCTCGGGCCGCGTCTTTGAAACCAGATGTTAAAATGCTACACATGCGTTTTTTTTGAATTTTAAGAGTGGTCTTGTGACTTCGTGGCCAAAGTGTGTGATTTTCTAGTGCTGGTTTGACAGTATTGTTCTCTTTTTAGTGAAATTTATTGGAGCCATTCAGAAGTTTCGAAGCATTGTTTAGTAAAAGGAATGTAAACTTGGGGCCATTATTTATTAAATTAGAAGAAACTTTTAGCAGCTATCACAGATTTGTAAAATCGCCAACCACTACATACACAGGCTGTATTAACACCATTTTATGTAACCACAAATATAAAGGACATGGCGGTTTCCCGAAATTTTACATAATTCAATATAACCCAGTCTAGTCATCACGATAAATCGAACTCAGCCCGGGTCAAAATGAATCGCAACTATTTCTCTTGATAGGCGAGTAGGGGAGGGGCAAAACCGAATAGTTTTATCGAATTAATTTTCGAAACTTGAAAACCAGCAACAAAGCTTTTTACTGGCTAATTTCGTTATAATTGTTTGGCGGCGATATCCTGGATTGATATCTATGATTATCAACTCTCTTTTTTGCAAGTATGAATTCTTGGTGGGTCGGCGAGAGTCGAAGTTCTATATCAGTTTACCTGTGGCGTTCAACATCCGAAACCGCTGTTAAAGACATCAATGGATTGAATTTCAAAACCCAAAATTACCATTGCGGTGACTTGATATATCACCTATCAAGGTTTATAAATTTACCGTCCCAATTTTAAGCGAATTGTAATATTATTATTGATACCGGGATGCAGATATTTATTAAGATGATAATCAACTTTCTTGTGCTTTACTATAGTGTCTGTATTATTTTACAGATAAACCTCCGCTAATCTGCAATTGCGTCAATCCTGAATGTTGATTTAAAATAGTAATTAAATAATTAGACAATGAAGGCATTTCTTGAAAGATATTTTACATTTGCGACTTGATTTGGCTAGAGTGCTTTTGTTCCTAATAAAGGGTCAGGTGCTAATTATAACTAATTCTTTCAAGTTTTTTAATTTTTTTCAACAAAACAATACCCCGTCGATAATTAAAGCTAAAATGTTACCAGTAATTTACAATTTTATTTACGGAATTTGCAAATTCACCACTTCACTTGACGACTTTGATAACGTCACGCCCTAATTATTAGTGCAAAAATACTCAAAATATAACGAATGTAATCATTTCCGATGATAATAGGCGCAACAATTCGTGAACGAAACAGTGTGCCTTGTTACATCGAAATTCACAATTGATTTTACTTTATATTCTAGTTCACAATTTCCCCACTCCACCGCAATTTTGGCCAAGGATGGAAGAGATCATTAAAGAGCTAATTGAAAGTACATTAGGGATGGGCAATATAGAATACCGAATCCGGAGGATTCGAATCCCAAAGTATTCGAATCCAACGGGATCCGATAACAGGATTCGGTTTCCGCCTCTCTGGCGCCAAGCGTCAATTTTTGTATTTCGGGTTTCTAATAGACGAGCGTTTTTCTCGCGTGGAAATCTCTCTCGTTTAATTAAACTTGCGTCTGCTCGCAAAGAACCCGTAAATCGGTAAACATCAAACACTGTAATTTCAATCGGCATATTCAGGACAAGAAGTCGGTAATATAACCTCACGGCGAAGACTCGTTATTGCACCATTTTTGCGTTTCCCTTCTTTGCTACCCAGCTAGCGTTATTTGTGCCGACTTATTGGTGATATTCCGATAATCTGAATGCAACAATCTTTAATTGATTACAGACGTGCCTTGCCTCATTTTAAATTAAATGATTTTTCGCGACCTACGAGTTTTCCCAAAAAAATGATGCACGTAAACCAAAAGCCAGGCGTTATAAATGTTATAACATTACTCGCCATTAATTTAGATCAAATATTATTTACGAATAATTTTATTATACCATTTTCCGAAATACAAAGTTATATCGCAAAACGCGAACAACTCTCACATTTAAATTTCACTCTCAAAAGA